CTGACTATCATAACCTGTAAAACTGTCTTAAAAATTAAATGCTCTTATATATGATTTGGACCATTATCTGAAGTTGACAGAAAGCATACCTTAGACAATGGGTCTTCAAACTACAGCCTGTGGGCTGGATCCAGCCCACCATGCTCATTTATCCGGCCCCGCCTCAGAAGTTTTAGATTCCCCGTGCCCGCACTCGCTGCTGTTGCCTGCCTCACTGCACATGTAATTGCCACCATCTTGCCGCACGCATAGCACGGCGGTGGCTTGCTCGCTTGGAGATTATTTTGGACTCGCTTGGAGAAAACGATCTCCGAGCGAGCAAGCCGCTGCCTTGCCATGTGTGCGCCCGCCGGTGCCGCTGCTGCCTCACCACACACATGGTGAGGCTGCAGCTTGCTCACTTGGAGATCATTCTGGACTCACTTGGAGATCTCCAAGTGCGCGTCCGCCGCCACGCAGGTGTGTGCCGCCACCCCTGCCTCAACAGTGTCCAAAAGTTCCATATACTGATTACTAAAATCAGCTTCATTAGAAGCAGCAGCAATTACATACTGGATTCTCTATGAACAACTTTCAGATTCAAGACTGGACCAAAGATACTCTAAAGCTTCCTACTGCTAATGAATTTGATTCTTGTAATATTCTCAAACAGAAGACTGTCTGAAAAAGCACCTGCTTCCCAGCAAACAGGCACTGCAGTACATCAAGGCATTCAATATTCAGTGGCTTTTACAGTCCTTCCAAAGCAAGAGGCAAGGGATAATCAAACATCAGCCAGGCTATAACATGTACCTTGGAAGCACAGAAGCCACAACTGAAAAAGCTGTCTTAAAGCATAAAACCATAAAGGTTTATAACTCTGCATGCCACAAAAATACTGTGGATATTAACTTGCCTAGAGCCTATAATTTTCGCACAATGAATGCAGAAGCAGAAAGCTATGATCATCTGATCATTTGTTAAAATATCAGGGAACCATTTTTGTGCAACAGGAAGAGAAATGGGAATGTGTAATTTCATTGCAGATTACAACAATGGTGTGAGGGTTTTTTTAAGTCCACAGTAAGTTATATCCTCCAAGCTTTCTCTCTTGTACACATACATTCTTTCCAGGCAAGATATGGGAAGAAACTGATTTGATAAACATGATATATTAGACATGCCTTACGCTTTCAGATTAATGGGCAAAGAAAATATTTTTATTCTGCCCAATGTCAAGGCATCTCATAACAATAAAATGATAAAATTTAAAAACAATACCACACAAAATAAAAACCATACTAAGTGATTCAATCAGGGCTGATAATAAGATTAGCAATAAAATCAGATTCCATTTACATCTAGCAAAAATTAAAAGGTCTTTGCTACTTAAAAGGCAGTGCAGGCATGTGCCTGACAAGGTGGAGGGTGTCTGCTTGTTCAGTAATCAAAAAGAAGTGGGATATAAAGGTAACTCACATACAAATTAAGTGAGAACATGATGAAGTGGGACTGACAAGTGATTTTTTTGCTGGCCTGTGTGCTATTATAATGAGGAACTCAGAAACATGAAGAACTAACTGTACTCTTAAGAAAACTTACTCCAAAAGAAATCTCACTGACTTCAGCAGAATGTGCTTTCAAGCATATAAAAGTATATTTCTTCACATTTCAGGATGTGTACAGAAATTTAATGGGATTAGAAAAAAATATCTGTGTAATCCTACACTCGAAAAAGTCATCTTGAGGAAGGGAAATGAGTAAGGGGAAAAGTCAGCTAAGCAGATAATCTGCTCTACCAACTGAAATAAAGGAGCATAATAGAAGACGACAGAACCCTTCCAGCAAATGCTTGCAGAATGCAAGGAAACAGTCTCATTAAGGAGATGCACTACATTCGCATTTAAGTCTCAGTCTCACTCTCTCTCTCTCCCCAACAGTATCCAAGTAAAATAAAAGAAACTACACTGATAGGATCTTAGTCATGCTAGTGGAGGCAGAGGAAGAAAAAAGGAAAAAAGAAATACACCAATAAGAGGGTTCTGTGAAAGACTGGAGTGTGAATAGGGGAGGAGAGGTGGGAAATGGAATCAGTGAAGTAGAGATGACATGGCAGTTTATGCAGGTGGCAAATGGCTGATCACAGGCTTTTTTTTTACCCAGGTGCAATATGGGAGCACTAAACAGGGTTGCAGAACAGGACAGCCACTGCCAACAGGAATGACTGAAAGCTTCCCCAGTATAAAATAAGAGATAATAAGAGTGACTGTTGATACCAGAGGCAGAACACATTATGGAAGGGAAAAGAAAGCAGCATCAACTAAGTCAATGCTGGATCAATGATAAACAAAGGAAGTTTAAAAAGGAATCTTTGACTATTGCCTCTCTATATCAAGGCATCATTCCCAATCCAGAAGCATCAAGATAGAAAGTGCACTTCTACTTCAGTGCCCTAAATATGCAGAAATGCAAGAAAGGCACTCCTGGCCCAAAAACTGGTCTGAAGAATGCAATTCTGTCTACCAATACGGTTATGAGGGAGGGGAGAGAATGCTTGGGAACTCACACTGCTTGAAAGCTGCAGAGAAGACAAGGAATATGAGTGTAACAATAAGGGTTGAGAACAATAGGTGAAATAGGGGGTCACATAAGCATTCAGGCACAAGGAGATGCATGCAGAGAAGTTAAGTAAGATCAACTGCAATGCATTTATTTATGACCATTTGAAAAAGGGCATGCCACTTGCTGTAGCGAGAGAATTAATAGCTTCTGAACAGGAGTGGATTTTTAGAAGGATCAGAAGAAAAGCTGCATTGCAGAATTTCCATCTTCCTGTGGGGCTGAGGAAAGGGCAGAGCATAAAATTATAATTTAATAGCTTATGAAGAGAAAAATAAGGCTATCTAGAAATAGTTATAAGCTATAGGACACAATAAGCAAAATACATCTAGCACTGAACCCTTAGTCTGCCCTATCCCAAAATGAAAGGTGTTCATTAACCTGGAGTTCTTAGAGTGGTACTCTAGAGTATTATGCCAATCTATTTCATTTAACACTATTATTCAAGGGTATATTAAGCATGTGTGAAATGTTAAGCAATACGGACAATTTCAGATGTTAGGGTTAGGTTGTTATTATTAAAACCCAATTGCAACACCAGAGTGTCAAATGTAAGAGCCAAAGTACTATCATGAATTTTTCAGAACTCCTGTCCCTTTAATTAAAGTATTCTGCTTATAGGTTCTACTACTTTTTTTTACACTTCCTACTAAGTACAGCTGCTGGATTATTTACTGGCATGTCAATTGCCACAACATGTCGGCTCTTGTTAACACAGAAAGTAGAAAGTACATTAACTAACACTTATTGTAAGAGGAAAATGGTAATTAAAACTTCCCAAAACATACTAAAAATGCAAACCAATAACATGAGAATATTCATCAGTAATTCTACTGTTGCACTCCACAGGAGCTAAAAAAGGGATGGAGTCTGCATGCAGGAAGTTTTTAATTAACACTGAAAAAGGACCATACTTGTGAATCAACATTACAAAACAATTGATGAAGGGTATGTGGGAAGGAAGGCATTGTAAGTTAGTATTATAATAAATGTGATGGCAGTTTCACACAATTCTGTTTCCAGCTTATTGCAGAAAGGGTAAGTAAAGCAGTAAAGGGTTCTGGTGTGGAAGCAAAGTTGTTTTCAGTCATACAGCTACTTGTTCTCTATATATACTACTGCTGCTGCTGGTGGTGGTACTACTACTACTAAACTAGGTCTGAATCACTGTGAATCATCATACTGGACACATTTCATAAGGGAACTGCCACTGCTTGAGTTCTATCTACTCCAAAGGGCCTTTTATAAAAACCCCTTATAATTTTTTTCCAGAAACAATACTAGTTAGTTGATGAGAAGAAGTAACCTCTACCCTGTCAAACAGTGTTTAACTGATCAGTCCCAGATGCCAGGACCTGCAATGAAAGCAAAGGCTAAGTTCTGAACCCTGTAAACTTGCATAACTCTTTTGAGGATGTACAAAGTGACTTCTTTCCTCACAATATATCTGGCTGCAGCAAAGAGCTACTTACACACATCTGGGTATCCATATCTAAAGAAAGGTTTAGGGCATATAAGAATCAGAAAAAGAGTAGCATGAGAAGAAGTCACATCTTTATCTGATAAAGAAAACCATAATAATTGGCAATTGGCTAGCCTTCATATATCCATCCTATATGATGACATGTGCTGAAAAGTTTCAGTACCAGTCTACTGAATTAAAAAAGACAATACTATAAAAATAGGTTGGGAGTTATTCCCAGTTAACTAAGGGTGTGGTTCTGTGTATGAAATGGAGAATAGTAATAAAGGCATCAGCAAGCATTCATTTAATTGGGAAGCCCAACTCCAGATGTGTGAGTGCGGTAAACAGGAAGTTTTAAAGTACTTTGAACATGCTCAGGGGCACCATTATTACTTTGAGCATTCCAGGGCTGAGTGCTGGCATTAAAAGCAGATTCCAGGTTGAAGTCCAATTCTAGCCCCGGTTAAGATGCAGGTGGAGAAACAAGGGGGGCAACAGCAAAGATGACAGAGGATGGACAACAGAGTCTTGAAATCAAGAGCTTGTCAGGATAACAACAAAAGGAAAAGCAGCTGGAGTGCTTCTGATTGGCAATCATGTCCCCAAAAGAAGCAGCTAACAAGAGCTCAATTCCAAAAGCAGAAACACCCGGAGGCTAAACTTAGGTTAGGCATCATTCCTTCTACAGCCATCCTCCCATTTACCCTGCATTTAGACTGCAAGGTCCTTGCAGCAGAGGTCTTCTTATATTTCTAGTACAGTTAATTCTGCAGAACTCACAGCGCTTAATCAGAGCGCAGGGGAGACAAGAACTCTGCACTGGGCTCAATGATACTCTCGCTGGTGTGACTTCATGATGACGCGCTAGCTTCGAAGCAAGGTTCCGGGGCGAACAGATAAGCCCCGAGTCCAAAACAGACCCGCGACCGGCGTGTACCTGTATTTCCTGAAGAGCTGGTCCGACTCCCGGAAGCCGTTGTTGAGCAGCATGTTGATGCCGGCGAGTGCCAGTTCCGAGTCCTCGATGGGCAGGGGCGCCTCACCAGTGCCGCCGCCGCCGCCGCCGCCGCCGCCGGCCATAGCCGCGGGCAGGTGGACAACCCACCCAGCAGGAGCCGTTCTACGCCCGCACGGCGCCCAGCTTCCGCGGGAGAAGAACGAGAGAAAGGCGGCAGCGACGAAGCCCAGTCCCCCTTCTTCCCGCCCTTTCAGGCGGCGTTAGCCTTCCATGGAGCAACTGCTCCTCGCGGCTCCCGCTGCCACTGTGAGCAGCGAAGCCGGCGAGCAGCAACGCCGCAGCCCTTCAAGCAAGGACTTGCCGCTAGCGCGCCTGCGCGGGGCTGCGCGAGCCTGCGCATTGCCGCGGCCGACGCTTGGGTAAGAGCGCTGCGTGGGCACCTGCCTGAAATCGCGCTCGCGTGTCCGAGCGGAGAAATCTTGGGTGGGACCCTATTGTGAATTCCTGCTGGCCTCCCTGAGGGGTGGGAGGAGAATTTCTTTCTCCAAAAATAAAAAGTTGTTACTTTAAAACAAGGAAAAGACCAGGGGGAAAGCTGCTTTTTATCTTAAAAAAGCAGTTTCTTTTTAAAAATTAAGTGTGAAGGTTATCTCTAATATAAATTTGAAAAGAGAGATGATCCACTTCATAACTTGTTTGTTTGTTTCCAACAGTGGAAACAAAGTCAGGGCAGGAAGGCAAATACAACAACCTTTCCTGGTTGTTAGTCTCTAGTATCAGATATTCAGAAATACGCTGCTGATAAACATGGAGGTTTCATCTGAATAGCATACTGACAACAGCTGCTGATACACCTACGAGCCAATTCTCATATTTAAGTTAGCTGGAAAGGAAGTACCAGAGAAACTTGAATTTTATTTAAAGCACCTCTATGCTGTGTCTCCATTACAAACATTTCCAAACTAGCAAGCAACCTAAACATGTGAAGTCAATCAGTATGAGTAAAAATGTTAAAATATTTCACGTAGTGTGCTCAAAACTAGCAGTGATCAGTGTATTGTGTCTATTGGAAAACAATTGTGATGTCTTTCTCAACATTCAATATTAATTCAGTTAAAGGCAAACACATGCCTTGATGTATGTTTGATTTCTGTATAATTTGACTAAATACATCTGGATTATATTTAGTCAAATCCTCACAATCCTCACTGCAGCTCACTAGAACTTGCCATAATGGATTTCAGTGCAGGCAGGTGGGCAACCCCTGGTTTGCCATGGTTTGTTGCATTGTCTGAACCAGGAAACGGATTGTCTGAGGGGTAAGCAGACCTCAAATAACCTTGCCACAGACCATGGATTGTTTGAGGGTTGATTAACCCTCAAAAAACTCCTGCTACCCAGGTTTGGACAACATGTCAAACTGTGGTCAGGTCTTTAACAGGCAACCAGGAGTCCATGGATGTCATGACTCATCATCCCCATGGTCATGGCAGAATTTCCACTTTGTGATATGTTGAATTTAGATTTCCTTGCACATTGCTGAAAAGAAGATGGGAGAAGCTGAGGCTGTGTCCATAATTTCTCTTGTTATGAAATACAGCCTACTGATGTCAAATATTTCACAGCTACCAATGGAGCATGAAAGATAGTCAACACCTGATCAAAAGTACTGTGTAATTATGGTGGACTTCAAAAAAAAAAAGATCACAAGGCCAACTATTGATCCAAATTCAGATGAAAATGTGATTACAGTTTAGTTTATTTGATAACAAAGAACAAAAGGCAGATTTTCCTCCCAAGTTGCTATGAAATACAACTTTCCAAATAAAAAGATACGGAGCATGCTTTTCCATAATTTACTGTATTTTTCGCTCTATGAGACGCACCTGACCATAAGATGCACCTAGTTTTTAAAGGAGGGATCCATGGAAAGCTTCCTGATAATCACAGGCACATTCCCCATCACTTCCCCATGGGCTTCATTAAAAGACGGGTTGCCATTTGAAAACACACACCGACCTGTGATTCACAACTCTCACCTGTGCTGGAGGAGGGGGACAGAGCAGGGCGCGCCGAGCGCGTGCCGGCCAGGTGGTGCCACGTGGTGCAGCTGGGCCAGCAGTGTGCCGGTGGTGGTCTTCTGGGTGGTGCAGCGGCAGGTCTTCCCGGGCAGTGGGGGTGAGCAGTCCGTCTCTCTGTGCGGCCGGCGGGTTAAAGGCCGCGGCTCCTCCTACTCCGCATCGCTCCCCCTGAGCGGCACAGCTCTCACCTGCGCTGGAGGGGGGGTGGAGCAGCGCACGCTGAGCGCATGCCGGCCAGGTGGTGCCACATGGTGCAGGCGGCCGGCAGCGTCCCGGGCGTCGGGCACACACACATTCGCTCTATAAGACGCACAGACATTTCCCCTTACTTTTGAGGGGGGAAAAGGTGCGTCTTATAGAGCAAAAAATACAGTATCTTTCTCCTGAATTATATGGAATCTGAACTTTATGCTCAATATTCTTTTAATTCCACAGTCACAACTGTATACATTACATTTGACAATGATTATTCTGATGATAATGATTATTGCTAACAGCATGAATTGCAAGTTTCTGCAAATATTAGCAAACCTATTGATTTCCCAGTCTTGTAATCCTAAAGATTTTACTTTGATGTAAACCCTACGCATGTTAATAAAAGAAAAAACAGTTTTGTGGAATGTGGGATTTTATTCTGATTAAACATGCACAGGACTGTGCCATATGTGGTCCTATGCATCTTCACCCAGGGTTAAGTCCTGTTGAGTTCAATAAGATGCAATCCACAATAATCCTAAACAGTTGAGGGTGCAATCCCATGGAGACAATTTTCGGCCACACTGAGCAGAAGCAGCAGTAGAGGCAACCTTCACCTCTCTGTTCCACTCTGCATTTTTGCTACCCAGCCATTTTCACCTGCCTAGCTGGGCACTTTGTGGGCACTGGGCACTGAAGAGGACACAAGATAATTCCTACCTGGTCTCTGCAGTTTCCTCCCTTTCCTGCCCACTAGAATACTTCGTTTTGGAGAGGTGGTTTTCCCAGTTTTAGTTGTGTAATTCTAAATTCTTCCTGTGCTGGCTGCAAGGGGGCAGGGGCAGGGGCAGGAGGGGGCTTTGACTTTGGATCTGAGACTCCGAAGTATCCTGTGTCTCCCTCCAGGTGATGTTTATGGGCCACAGGACCACTCCGTCAGTGATAAGGAATGCCACCGGTGATATCTATTTTGTATTGTGGGTTTAAAACTGAACAACAAAAAAAGTTGTGGTTCACTTTTTTAAAAAGCTAGCCAAACATTCTATCTATCTATCTATCTATCTATCTATCTATCTATCTATCTATCTTAATTTCTGCTAAATTCACTAAATCCCCTAAGTGGGTTTTGCAAAGCCTCACTTTCCATGACAGCTATTTGGACTCCTATTGAAAAAAATACTGCTCAAAATATTCCTATATGCCTGAAATAGATTGAATGCCTTCATTCATTAAGAAAATACAACACTCAAGAGCTTTTCATTTCTTCCACATATTAAATTTTTCTTCATGTGATTGTGATCAGACAGATCAGGCTGAGCTAATAATTATCAATGCATTCACCCAAGTACTGCGCAATATCTGTGCAGTTCCCTACAATATGAGAGGCATAAGTGTTTTAGTTAACTGTGTTTGGCACACTTAGGATCCAGGTGTGCCAAATTCTTCTGAAGATCTATAGCACTGAAAATTGTATTTTCATTACATGAAAACAATCATTATGTACTCCAAACACCACGTTGCTGTTGATGTCACCACCTGTCATTAGGTGTTCTAGTCCTTTTCTTACTTTGATATCAAGTTAATCTCTTCACTCTAGAAGATCAAAAGAAAGCAACACTGCAGGTTACAAGCAATTAGGTGGTATTCAATGTTGTACCTACTTAGAGTAGACCAATTGACTAACACTTGATCCTACCGATTAGAGAGGTTCACACATCACAATAAGCAATGGTGGAAACCTCAGGGTGTGCCGTGCCTTTAGTCTAAACTCAGCAAACATGCTGAAGTATGGCAGTTTTAGTCTGCATGGAACCACGTGGAGATCTGATGGCTTGTTCTAAGCTTTTCATGCTTCACCGTTGTTCGTTTTGCAGTCTGAGCCTGGTCAAAGAGTTCTGCAGGGACTTCTGCCACACTTGCGGCTTTCCAAATCTGACCAGCAACTGCCATGTAGCAGCCACAGTGACTGGCTGCTCCGCACTATCTTTCTGCCTTGCTAGCATGCAACTCTTGGGTGCTCAGTCCCTGTGGGGGGATCTCACTGGCAGCAGGGCATCACTCCATGCTGCCTCCAGCGGCGGCAACCACAGAGGCAGCCTTGCTTGGTGCTCCAGTTTGTGTTTGTCCTACTCTGGTCTTCTCCTGTGGTCTCCCACTTTCACTGTTCGTGAGGAACTTCTGAAAAGTACAATCCCAGATAACTGCATTAAATTTTTAACCAGAGAACATAGCAATGTGGAAAACGGTTTGCCAACAGCAATCCAATATGCTTTATATTCTGTTTGTATTCCAGAATCCCAGCATTTCTGCTCCCTGTGGGTAACCGACAGCCGTTATCACCATGCAGAAGACGACAGGTGCATTCACACATGACGCTAAGCAATGCTGTGCAGCATAGTATCTCACCTTGTGTTCTGGGTTCAGACTAGGGTTTGGCTTCCAAGCATGACTGGTTTCCATGCTTCTCCATCGTCTTTCGAAACGGCTGCTAGTATCCCATTATTTGCCCCTCTCCCAGCTCAGAATCTTATGTGCACTACTCCTGCCTGCATGGCCTTCTCTTCCTCATTGGCTCACATGCTGCCCTGGGTGTGGCTTCAGCCAGCTGCCTCTTTTTTTGGTGGGGGAATATGCTGCCTGCTGTTCAGCAAAGCAATTGCCTCCTCTAGAGCAGAAATGTGGTTCTAGAATAGGACTACAGGAGCACTCTCCTGTGCTGGCCTGCTCTGTGCCAGATTGTAAGAACACCCACCTCTCCTGCTTCTCCACTGCACATGTCCTCGCCCCCCCACCATGCTGCCAGAGGTTGCCTCCCCCATGCAGCCAGGCACACAGAGGGCATCGGTATGCATGTGCATGCCAAGGACAGAGGGAGCATGTCTTGCCATGTAGCCTTTCCTGAGGGGCCTGTCTAGGCATCTGCCCAGGAAAGTTTTCCAGAAGGCTGTTGGGACAGTGTTTGCATCAGAGTGGGGAACCAGGAGCCAAATCATGCCCTCTGTGGTTTCCCAGAGGTTCCATCTTCTTTCCCCTGACCTCTGACTGATGGTTTCCCAGCTTTCTTGTGCTTTTTCCACA